CCTTACTGGAATAAAGAGTTACAGACTCTTTGGAATGTGTTACGGTCAGCTGAGAAAAGTTTCCTTAAATGTAAAAAACGAAATAGAAATGTTTAAAAAAATGAATTTTAAAACTGTCAACATAACTTTGACAAAAAGTTAAGATTTTTCAAAAACAATAAAATAAAATAAAAGAGGACAATCCCTCCAGTTAGTGTTTGCAGGCAAAATTTAAATTGCTCTGGTAAGAAATTAATAAACTAGTAACTCAGAAAAGTAGATTAATTCCTATGGAGATAACCACAGATTGTGGCGATTCATGTGTTTGAAACAGACAACATTTTGTAGAAATGGGAAAATGATTATAGACTCTTCTAATTGACCTCTTATTTGATGAGGAGTTTTCAAGTAAAATCTGATATATGAAACCAAAATTGGAAATTGACTTATCAGATAAGACACTGGATCAAAATTATATATTGAATTATGACATCACATTAGAGGAGTAAATGCAGCTAAGACAWATAAAACACTGTTTGTTGAAGGGATCCTTGAAGCTCTGAAGGCACCAAGTTCAATTTTTGCAATGACTTTTTCAAAGCTGTTTCTCAAACTACTAATCCACTGCAGAGGTACCAGTCCAATAATAAAACCAATATCAAAATCCTTAAAGGTTGATAACAGAGAGCTATTAAGTTATAGAGGCATTGGTTTGATCAGCACTGTCTATATAATGTACTCAGGCATTCTCAATGACAGAATAAATCCGTCAGTTAAGCGAAATGGCTTTAAGGTAGGGCCTGTATGGACCATATTTATGTCTTATCAGTGGTAAGGACCAGACTTTGATGGGAAATTGCTTGTTTTATTTATTTTCAGAAGGCATTTGACTGGGTTAACTGAGATCTTTTACAGTATAATTTACTAACTTATGACGTTTCTGGTAGATATTATGAAGCAATCAAATCCCTGTAAAGCCCAGTTGCATGTGTACAGGTGAAYGACCTGAGAACTGGCTGGTTCCCCACTCCTTTTGGGGTGAAACAGGGTGATGTCCCCTACTTTATTTTCTTTATACATTATTAAATTATTATTATTATTATATTAAATTTGAGTATTTTGTTGTATGCTGATAGTATTTTGCTTGCAGAGACTGAAGTGAAGTGACAAATAATGTTAAATATTCTCTTAATGATAAAACAAAGGTAATCTACTTCAGAGTGAAATCTGAACAGAGAAGTTCGTACAGTTTTATGTCTGGACAGACATATTTAGTGCTCACAAGTTCTTATAAATACATTGGATTGGTCTTCAATGAATTTATGGGCTTTTAACGAGGGATCTAAATACCTTTCAGAATCAGCTGGGAGAGTTTTGGGAAATATACAGAGTAAAATGAAAGTCTTACCTGAAATGGGCTTTTCTGTTTTTACAAAACTTTTTGATTAAATGTTTTTTTCTGTTTCGTTATATTCTACTGGAATGGGGGTTTTGAGGTAATTAAATGTATCAGTGCTTTCCAGAGTAGAGCTATCAAATGCTTCTTATGCGTTCACAAGTACCTTACTAAATTGGCGGTGGAGGATGGGATGGGATGGGAGCCCTGCATTATAAAACAGCAGAGATGCTTTGTTTATGGAACCGCCTCACTCGGCTGCCAGACGTCAGACTGTCCAAAAAGATTTTTTCATGGGACTGTTCCAATAATTATTCTTGGGCAAAGGAAGTAGCTACAATGTTAGTCATTTTTGATGTAAACTACATTTAAATAAACTGCAGTGCAATCTAAATTATTTAAAAATATATATTTTTAGTGAAAAAAGGCAGTTTTACCACTATACAAAACAAGAAATAACTCAAAATCAAATTTCCCTGTCCAGCATAAACCTTAGTGTTTAAATAACTTCCATTTGCAACAAATGTCATCAGTTTAATTGTAACGCAAATCATTGCAACCAGATTAAATAAATTGTAAACTAAATTGTTTTTTTTTTTAATTCCAAAATATTTGACTAAAATTGACACTCCAGTTATTACAGCACAGAATATAAAAACATTTAACTTTCCATTAGGGTTGGGCATAATTGTATCGTGTGCAATTAATCATCAGAAAAACATTAATTGATTACTTTTTGGCACTTGACGATTAATATGATTAATGCCACAGGCAGAGTCTGTTCGCTGCTCCCTTCTGCTTCAAATATGATGAACATTAAAAATAAAGTCCTGTAATTTATTTACCTATCAACACAATTTAAAATATGATGTACAGCCTGAAATCTGTAATTTTCACACAATCTGGAACATTTTTTTTGACAAAGATCAAATCTTTCCCACTAAATTGGTCATGTGACTATGATATAAGGGTGTCCAGGGACTCCAGGGGATTAATCGTCAAATTAATCGTTATCGGCTAAATACCACAATTAATCGTGATTCATTTTTTTTGCCAATATTGCCCAACCCTACTATCCATCCACCATAAAATTTCTTATTCAGTTCATTTCCCTCATGAATGACTTTCGTACACTTTTACACATTTAATAATAACGCTATCTGAATGCTTTCTTGCAAAACCAGAAGAGATAAAATGAAGACATTGTGGTGGAGTCCAGACTGAAAGGTGTGACGCTGAAATCTGACCTGCACTGCGTCCTATTTATTTCTGTGCACCTAAACACACCGGTGAAGCCAGACTCGTGGAAGTCGGGGAAAAACTCAACTTTAAATTTGTGTGACACTTACTCTCTATGGGATTTTTCCAATATGAGCCGTCTCTTGGGCCCGTTTCCTGCCCCTGTCTTTGTGTTATGTTAAGTAGCAGGCCTGTTTTCTGTCCACCACCCTCTCCTCCTTGGGTTTCAATTCCAAACATGGTTATCCTTCTAGGGCTCTGTCAGCACGGCCCCCTCCCTCACCCCTTCCCGTCTTCTCCAGCTGTTGGCTCTTTAGTACAGGCCGGTGGCCGAGGAGAACGGACTGAAAACAAGAAATCCATCAGGAAATCTCCGAAGGAAAGAGAGGAGGCGAGAAGCCAGAGGACAGAGGAGGGGACCCATTCCAGCTGTGTTTTTCTAAGGAACAGAGCCCTCAGAACTTCTTCACATTGAAGAATTTTCCACTGTGCAGCAAGGGAACAAATCTTTACTTCTGATGTTTTTTATTTAAAATCAGCTGTTTACATATATATTTTTTAGCTTTTAACCAGCTGAGACAGACATTTATTTTATTCATCAAAAGCCTTCTCAGTTTGTCATTTCTCAAGTTGTAATCATGAGAGGAGACAACTCAACCCTRTGGGACAACCTATTCTCTCCACCTCTCTGTGACGGCTGGAGCAACAACACGGAGGGAGCCATCTACCACTTGGGAAACACCATCCTGTTCCTGGGCTACATGGGAGGCAGCGGGGCCTACGGGTGCCTCTTCATCTTCAGCTTCCTGTGTCCGGCCTTCCTGTGCCTCGTCCTGTGGGGCTGGATGACCATGTGTGGCCTGGACGTCTTCACCTGGAACCTCCTGCTGCTGCTGGCCTGCCTGCTTCAGATCTGCCACCTGGTCTTTAGGCTGCACCAGGAGGGCATACGCAGCGAGGAGCTCTCCTCCCTCTACCAGATGGTCTACCTGCCACTGGGCGTGCCCATCCAGGTGTTCAAGGAGGTCGCCAGGGCGTTTGAAGACAGGGTGGTGGAGCTGAAGGCAGGAGAGGTGTATGCTGTAGAGGGCAAGACGCCCATTGATCAGCTCTCCTTTTTGCTGACCGGCAGGTGGGGAGTGTGTATGTGTGTATGCATGAATTATAACCTCAAGACCATGTGTTAATTCAACTAAATATTTAGCGCAGCTCACTGACATTATAAAAGGCATAAAATCAAAAGAGTTTGTGATTCTTGGTGATATCAATATGAATTGGGCTGATAAAACTTCCAAAGGCCTGAAAGCAATGTCTATAAACTTAGGGCTTCAACAGTTAATTAAAGTACCAACAAGATTTGGCAAGACATGTAATTTCATTTTGGATCGAGTATACTCTCAACCATGTCGTACTGCTTACCTGTTTGCTCTCTTACAACAAATGAAATCTTAGAACCCATAGTTAGGCTCTACAAC